GGCTCAGCTGAACAGTTCTCCAATCCACATGGCATCAGCCAGGGCAGCAGAACTAGAAGGTCTATTTCCAAGATGACTTCTTTATAATTTGTCTGGCATCTTGATGCTCCCTAATCTCTCCCTTCCCTTCTCTCTCCCCATGGTGTCTCATTCTCTAGACTTGTCCACGTGGCTTGGGCTCCTCTCCAGCATGGTAGTCACAAGAGGCAGGAGATAGAAACCACAAGGCCAGTTAAGGACTTCCCTAGAACTAGCACAGCATCACCTCTGCCCTGTTCTGTTGGACAGAGGAATCACATCATTTGCCCAGATTCGCAAGGGTGGTGCAATAGATCACACCTTCTGGAGCAATGACAAGGACAAACTGCAGAAGAGCATGTGATTGTCATGGCTATCTTCAGAAAATAAAGTCTCCCACAGTAACTACACCTAGTCTCAGCCTCGGGAGTCCATTCCCAACAGCACTTTCCCTTGATTCGTTCATTCATCCACTCAACAAACAATTCCTGAATTGGGCTAGTAACTCTTGCTGAGGACTGAAGGTGGAATTTCTTAGAAAATGAGAAAGGTTTGGAAACAACTTCAATTTTTTTAAGTTGAATTTCTCATTAATTCCCAGCTTATTTTTATTTAATCTCATAAAAAGCAAACTTTGCCTGTCTTAGGCAAGCTCCAGTATCATCTCTAGGACGCCTTTCCTGATCTCCCTTTGGACATATTGATAGCTCCCACAGCACCTTGTTCACACACTAGCTGTGCAATGCTTATATCTGATTTGTAGTTGAATTCTCATCCACCCCCAAATAAAGACTGTATTTACCGACTAGATGGCCATGAGACTAAGTTCTGGCCCATGAAATGTAAGTGAAGGTGGTATGTGCAACTTTCAGGAAAGGTCCCTAAATAAGGAGTGTACCTTTGTCCTTTCCTTTCGTCTTTCTTGCTGCCAGGAATACAGACATGATAGCTGGAGCTAGAGCAGCCATTTTGTATCATACGATGACTTTGGGAATGGAAGCCACTTACAGCAGAACAACGAGTTAAAGAGCTCAAGTTCTTGACACTGTGGAGGGCCCCTCCCACTCTGGACCCAGTACATCAAGGTTTTCACATGAGACAGAAATGAACTTCTATAATGAACTTCTATGTGGCTTAAGCCACTGTTTAGGATTTCCTGCCACTCCCAGTTGAACTTAATCCTAGCTGATAAAACTCACATCAAGAGAGTGGGGTGGCAAAATGCAATGCAATGTCTTTTCTACTGAACTATGTACAGAACTTGCAACTCTTGATGGGGAATACTAATTCTACAATATAATTCTATTTCCTAGGCAGGAGAATGGTCAAAGGTCAAATAATAACACAATGGCCTAAACTAAATGCATCTGGTGACATTGTTTATGATATCAAGAGCCTGCAAAAGAACTCAATGTTGCTCAAAGAGGGGGAGGTGGGCTGATTAAAATATGGAATATCTGTGTAATGGAAATTTTATGGCTCTATTTAAGTGAACAAGGCAAATCTCTATATACAATGATCACAATAAATACTTGGGTAAAAATGCAAAGGTCTTTAATATACTATAACCCCAAGGGAAAGCAAGCAAAATCAAAGGAAGCATGTTATACATGAAAAATATGGGCAAAAGTAGGTAACTGCAGAAGCTGGTCAATGGGTATGAGAGGGTTCATTGTACTTGTGTCTCTGTTCATGTGTACCCTGGAGAAAATTCTGTAATAAAAGTGAAAACAAAAAACAAAACCACAGGGTTCTGGGCTCTGTTTTCATTTTTTGTGGGTTTTCTTCACTTTTTATTTTAAAAATATTTTCAAAGTGCTGCTCTTGTGGGGAAGAAAAAAACCAAAGGGATGAGAGGGGATAGATGCATGTTTAGACATTTGGACATGTATCGGTGATTGGCCTCTGGAGAGCTGCAAAATTCTAAAATTCCAACAGCAACCAAGGAAGGAAAGGAAGACCACAGGCCAAAGACGGGAGATGTGCTTTTCATTCTGTAGTTTGTTGTATCACGTGCATGCATGAATTGTTCATTATAGAAAAACTAAACTAAAACTAAAAGGATGTATGGAAAAGAGTGTCACTAATCATATGGTAGGATTGCATACTTTCAAGTAGGTCCGTAAGAAATACCCACCCCCTCATCCTGCCCCCTTCTGCTTCCTCTCTAGCTAATTCAGAGCCAGCCTTTAAGTTTCGGGTCAAAGGTCATCTTCCACGCTGGGACACAGAACTCTATGGCCTCGAAGAGCAGGCTAGGAACATAAATATACCAAACAAATGAGCCTACTTCATTAAGGAGTGGTAGGGGTGAATGCCTGCTCAAAAGCCATTGAATTTGAAAATCTTTAAAATACAACAGGAAGTCTGGACCTTGGCTGCAGTCCTGAAAAAAAAAATCCTCCCCTCCCTCTGGTCCCCACCTTGTACAAAATTGGCCCTTCACTGTGCCCCAGGGCTCTTTGATCATAGGTCTTTCGATGAACTTATATTGCAGTATAGTTGTCATGTGCCTAACGGGCTGTCGCTCATTGAAAAATTAATGACAATGGTTGTCAGCCTTTCTTGAGGGCATATCAGAAGCCAGGCAAAATATGCCAAGAGCTTCACATCGATTATCTCACTTGGTCCTCATAGCCACCCTAGAAATTAGGTACAATTTTTAATCCCCATTTTTCAGAGGAGGAAACTGAGTCTCAGGAAGGTTGTGACCTGCTCAAGATCACACAAGTAGCAATGAGGTGGGTGGGCAGAGCTAGAATTTGAATCCAGGCAATTTGGCTCCAGAACGTACCTTCTTTACCGGTACTTCATTTTGGAAGACGGGACTCATGTCCCAATCCTAGTGGGAGATTCAGTGCTAACACCTTAGCTTAAATAAGACAAAATTAATTCAATAATACTTCATTGGGCAATAGGGCATGCAGAGTTTGCTTCCCTACATCCATAAACCCAACAACAGGGAGAACGTTTTATTATGTCTCACCTGACTCATAAGGGCTTCTTAAGAAAAATAGCTACTATCATGGATAAACCTTGACAATATTAGGCTAAGTGAAAGAAGCCCGTCACAAAAGACACTATCTCATATGAATGTCCAGAATAGGCAAATCCACAGAGACAGAACGTGGAGTAGTAGTTGCCAAGGACGGAGCAGGGGGGTGGGGGAGAATGGGACAATCGAGGAGGTGACAGCTAAAGGGTATTGAGCTTCTCGTTGGGGTGATGACAATTCCCTAAAGCTGTGGGGATGTGTTCACAGTTCTGTTAATACACAAAACAACCATCGAGTTGTACAATTTAGGTTGGTGAATTGTATAGAATGTGAGTTACAGCTCAATAAAACTGTTTTTTCTTTTTATTTTTTATTAATTATTTTTATTAATATATAATGTATTATTAGCCCCAGGGGTACAGGTCTGTGAATCATCAGGCTTACACACTTCACGTCACTCACCATAGCACATACCCTCCCCGTTGTCCATAACCCAACCACCCTCTCCCTACCCCCCTCCCCCCAGCAACCCTCAGTTTGTTTTGTGAGATTAAGAGTCTCTTATGGTTTGTCTCCTTCCTGATCCTATCTTGTTTCATTCTTTCCTTCCCTACCCCCCACACCCCCCACCCTGCCTCTCAAATTCCTCATATCAGGGAGATCATATGATAATTGTCTTTCTCTGACTGACTTATTTCGCTCAGCATAATACCCTCTAGTTCCATCCACGTCGTTGCAAATGGCAAGATTTCATTTATTTTGATGGCTGCATAGTATTCCATTGTATATATATACCACATCATCTTTATCCATTCATCTGTTGATGGACATCTAGGTTCTTTCCATTGTTTGGCTATTGTGGACATTGCTGCTATAAACTTTCAGGTGCACGTGCCCCTTCTGATCACTACATTTGTATCTTTAGGGTAAATATCCAGTATTTAGGCAGGACAGTAAATACCCAGTTTTTAGTGCAATTGCTGGGTCATAGGGTAAAAACTGTTTTTTCTTAAAAGGAAACCTGCTGAATTATCTTTCCAAATATATCCCAAAGATTAGATGAGAAGAGGAAGAGATGAACCATACACGTAATAAATAACCAATAATGATAGATCGGACAGCTGGCCAACTAGAGAGAGATCTAGATAGACAGAAGACAAGTACGTAGATAGATTGAGATATGCTTCCTCTTTTTTTTTCCCTCCATGTTCTCCCTTCTGAGGCCAGCAACTCAAGAGAGCAGATCTCTCAACAAATCATGGCTGTTTGCCAAACAGCAAAGGCAGTAATACACACCAAGCCACATAGACTCAAATCTTCTTCCACCAGTTCCTCCAGCACTTTCTTACCAGTTCTGGTATTCCCAGTTGTCCAGGCTGCCTGGTTTCTTCCCTTAGATATGCATCAAAACCCCCAGCTCTGGATCGCGTTATCAAATTGGAGCCCAAGACATATATCACCTAGTCAACCTTCAGCTTTCAACTCAAGAAAGAATCTTATAATATAGTTATCCAGAATAGCAGGCAAGCCCATCCGAATTTCTTTTATCTTTGGAACGCTTTACGTAATTTATTTTGCAAGAGGTCCACATACTTAATTCCATTTTTCACTGGCAAGTGTTAATATAAGTTCTCATTCTCAGAAGAAACTCGGGAGTTACCCAGGGTGCTGGCAGAGGGAATGGGAAGCTAGGCAGGAGAAAGAACAGATTCTTTGAATCAAGAGTCCTAGAGCACCAAGAGGAAGAGAACCTGCATCGAGATGGCCTCTGCTGGGAACCCTCACTGACCCATCAACTCGGAACATCTACTATTTCATGCATCACTCCCCAGAACCAAGCAGGAGGAGGAAGGATTCAAGTGCCTCACAAAGGGTTGGAGGCATGAAAGTAAAAGTAAAATCTTGCCCCATAGGAACTAAAACTGCATCACAGAATTTCCCTATGACCCAAGTAGGTGGTATCAGTGTGATGATCCACAATGCTCACCATTTACAGCTACATCAGGGACATGCATGCTGCTCCCTCCATCTGGAATGCTGTCTCCTCCTCTACTTTGCAAAGTCCTACCCAAGTTTCCAAACTCATGCTAGCATCTCACCTCTGGGAGGCCTTCTCTGATTCCACCAGGCAAAGCTCACCACTCTGTCTTTGGACCTCCACTAACGTACCATTCATACTTATCTCATTGTAATATTGTTGGCTCTTCACTTCTGTATACTCTAGTGGTTCAACGGCTTCTTGAGGATAGCAACTGTGTTTTAGTTACTGCTCTATCCAAGACATAAAGTGTTGACAATGTGCCTGCCCCACTTCCTGCTCTGCATTATTGAGCAATTATTTTTTAGAAACCCCATACTTAATTAAAATAGTGCAGTTATATTGCACGACACTCTTAGAATATTGAAAAGCATTACTTTTAATTAAGGCTTTTTTTAAGAGCAGTTTCCAGTTTAAACAAAATTGAGAGGGTGGTAAAGAGATTTCCCATATAGTGCCTGCCCCCACATCTGCATCCCCCCAGCAGGGTGGTACATTTGCTAGCATTGATGAGCCTGCACTGACACATCAGCAGCAGCAAAAGTCCATCATTTATCTTAGGGTTCACTCCTGGTATTGTATATTCTATGGGTTTGGACAAGTGTATGACATATTTCTGTCATTATAATATTATCCAGATCACTTCTCAGCCTCTTGGCTAAGATCAAGTATAATATTATCCAGAATGTTTTCATTGCCTTACAAATCCATTATGCTCCACAGAGTTCTCTCCTTTCCCCATCCCCTGTCAACCACTTATTTTTTTATTGTCTCCATAGTTTTACTTTTTCCATAATATCATAAAGTTGGAATCACACAGCATGCAGCTTTTTCAGATTATTTCACTCATAATTAATACGCATTGATGGTCCCTACATGTCTTTTCCCGGCTTGATAGCTCATTCCTTTTTAATGCTAATAATATTCCATTGTCTGGATGCACCACAATTTATCTGTTCATCTACTGAAGGACATCTTGGTTGCTTCCAAGTTTTGGTAATAATAAATAAAGCTGCTAGAAACATCTGTGTGCAGCTCTTTGTGTGGACACAGGTTTCAGTTCATCTGGATCAATACCAAGGAACACAATTACTGGGTCAAATAGTAAGAGTGTGTTCCATTTTGTAAGAAACCACCAAACTGTCTTCCAAAGTGGCTGTACCATTTTGCACTCCCACCAGCAATGCATGAGCATTCCTCTTGCTCTATATTCTCACCAACATTTGGTGTCATCAATCTTCCAGGGTTTGGCCTTCCAATAGGTCTGCGGTGATAGGTATCTCATTGCTTGAATTTGCATTTCCCCTGATGACCCATAATGTGGAGATCAAAAGCATTGCACTTTCATTGTGAACATCAAAGATATCACAGAGAGTTTGGAAACCTATCATTTCTACATTTTACTTCTCTAGGAACCCTGCAGTGGTCTGTGGCTCTCTTAACCTCCAACAGCTCCCATGCATACATCAAAGTCCTACACAAAAAGCATTCGGGAAATGACTGCTGATAAATTCCTACTTTGTTGCCAAATTCCTTTAAGATGGATAAATGCCAAAAGATGGTGCCTTTTCTGTAGGAGATAAAACTTGATATCTTTCCATTTCCTTTCCCACCCTAGATTATAGGATGGTGTGTACCTATAATAATTCTATAAGGCATGTCTCTGCCTACTGACCCGGTCCAACAGTGGTCTCTTCCTAGCATATTTCTTCCCTGGCCACTGGTCCCCTGGAAGCCCCAGGGAGAAAGTATTTCTGTTCCAGGTACTTCCTACTAACCTAGGAGCCTTAGGAATGTTCCTCTCCTTCTCAGAGGGCACAATCTTTTCATTATAAAAGAAAATTGCAGTAATACCTGCGCTCTTCATTTTGCAAGGATGCTCTATCTTAAATTAAAGAATCGATTTGGAAATGTTCATAAACTGTTCAAGGACCATGCAAATGTAAAAGTTTTGCTCTCAGCTTCCTCTTCGCGAGTGGATTAGCCAGGTTTGGTATGGAGAATAGTTCCATTTACATGCAGAAAACATCTGACATAGAATTTATTCTCTATCATATGGAGCAAGAGCTGAATATTGCACACAGTGATAGGCGAGCCTAATCTTATTGTGTAGCAGGGCAACCTTTTGTTAATCTAATGTTTCTTTTGAAAAATGAAAAGAGAAATCCTTCATGTTATTTGAAGTTTCAAATAAATAAATACCAGAAATTAAATATCACGATTCCAGTATGACCCCCTACCCACCCTCTCCGGCTGAAAGCCACTCTTGGGGTTATGAGCTCTTTCCAAATTGGGGATTTATAATAATAGTAAAATTTATTAAAAACTTATTGTGTGCCAGGCCCTGATATAAACATTTTACAAGGGCTAACTCAGCAACTAACAACAACTTTATAAGGTATGTGCTCCATTTTATAGAGGAGGAGACTGAGGCACAGAAAGGGTAGACAGTTTGCTTCCAGACACGCAACTAGAGACTGGCAGGGCCACACTCTGAGTCGCTAAATTCTGATAGGTTTAACCAACCCCTTAACACAGGACTGATCATTGATCAAGTTCAGTGTGGTTTTCATTCAACAATGGAGTAATCTTTCAGAGCATTTGTAGATCGAAGTTCTGAAATACAAAGCCCACCCCAGGCACTGGATAAGGCAGCAAGTCCCCATAGAATACCCACTCTGGGGGCATTGCTTCTCAGACGCCCCCTGCTGGTACCCACTCCAAACCCCATAGAGTCCTGTGTCACATCTAAACAATCCCATGAAACTGTGTGGGTTTGGTTTTTGTTTTTGTTTTTGTTTTTCAATCTTCTTAGATGGGAAACTGAGTCTAATGGGCTTGATCCTGAACAATACAGCTGTGAAGCAGCCACACTGAGACCCATACCCAGCTGTCCCACCGTCTTTCCTGCCTTACTTTGCCCACATCCCGGAGAGCACCTTTGAGATTCCCGGGGCCATCCATGCACTTGTTCAACCCTCCGTGAGAAGACACTCTGAACTCTCATTTCTTGGGACAGAGCAGAGGTCATTTCCATTTTCCTGACAGCCCAGCCTGAAAGCTCGAAAGACTTTTCCAAAAAAAAAAAATTCAAAGCACCCCATGTGTGACATGTCTGATGTAGTACATTTAATGATTGAAATTTTTTCCTTCACAACGGAGCTTAAAGCTGCTAAACATAGAAGGATAGAGGCTCTTGTGGTATATACCAGTTCAAGGTGTAGAAAGTGCTGTAGATAGATTATTATAAGAACAACGGCAGCCAAAAACTACAACTAAAAATCAGACTCATTGCTGAACGTGGTGTCCTTTTGGAAGAGGGAATAAGTGACCGAAAGTCCTGAGGAAAGCTGGGGAGAGATGCCAGGCACGTGGGCACAGTCTGCAAGTGTAACATGAAAATAAGACCTTTCTCCGCCTTGTGGGCTCACTAAAATGTGGACCAGGAGCTTATGGTATGGGGCCAGCTTCCCAGAATGGAGACTCCCCTAACCCCACCAGAATGTAAGCTCCTTAACATCCAAGTCCATGTTTCTCTTGTTTACTTTTGCATCCTTGGCACCTAGAACAGTGCCTGGCATGAGAGTCTTGCTATTCTGCTGTGGGCTTGCCTAAGAAACAAGCCTAAGAGAGAAATGCACCCACCGTGCATCGGTTCAGCCCCTGGTGCATCTGCTACAAAGGAGATCCAATCTGTGACATCAACTCCCCCATGCTGGGGTAGCCCCCAGCTCCAGCTTCTGCCCTTCTTCCCAGATCTCAAGCTGCTGGCCCTGGTGACCAGCAGGCTCAGAGGGAGACTTTAGTAGCATTCAGGGAATTACGGAGAATCCCTTTTGGGAGGGGTGGGTGTAATCAGGTTGGGTTAGATGTCGTTCTGTTGTTTTTTCCCTGGGATTAACACATGAGAAAGAGAACATAGGCACTCTGAAACATTCTGTGCCATAAGTATGATTGATGATAGACACATAGATACATAGATACAAAGGTAGATAGATGATAGAATTACATAGAATTCATATAAATATACATATATGTATGTTTCTATGTCTGTGTGTGTATATATATATATTTATCAAGAAATATACAACGCTGCCTTCTTCCCCCCAAATCTAGTCTGTTGTTTGGTTGTTTTGTCTCCAGCCTCCTTCCCCCCAACTACACAGAATAATTACATGAAAATAAATGGAAATATCTGTTCTTTATTTGGATGGCTTCCCGCAAAATACAGGATTCGCTTTAAGGAACTGTCTCAGCTACAAGAGATGTGGTATGGGCTGAACTGTCCTCCAGATAAAGAAGAAATGTTGGAAACCCTAACCCCCCGGTACCTGTGTATGTGACCTTATTTGCAAACAGAGTCTTTACAGAGATAATCAAGTGAAAATTAGGTCATTAGGGTGGGCCTCAATCCCCAATGACTAGATTTTTAAGCCACCCACTTTGTCACAACAGCTCTAGGAACCAATACAGATAGACACTAGCTAAAGCAGAAAAAGCCGTGTCATCAGAACTCACTTTTTCTCGATATCTCTACGCTCTGCTTTCCTCAGTCTGGATTCCACTCCCAGGCAAGCTGTCGCTCTACGGTGGCCCTCAGACGCGACAGACATACAACTTTCCTGTTTCAAGTCCTCTGAAAGAGGTTCTCTTCTCGGGAATCCCAACAGAAGACCTGGAAGCCAGTCTCAGTGACTTGAATCTTGGGCATCGGGTTGGCCTCTACCCCTACCCCAGGGTCTGAGAGTAGGATGAGGATTTTTCCCCATGGAAAACAAGGGTTTCAGTCTCTCCAGGAGGAAGAAATGGATGCTGAATGCTAGGCAGGCAAAACATAGGAAAGAATCTGGAATACATTTTGACATAAGAGGGTCATGCACCCATTCAATCAACAAATGTTCACTGAGCACCAGGCATTATTTGAGGTACTTGAGAGAGAAACAGCAAGCAAAATACAGATCCCTGCCCTCCTGGAGCTTATACCCTAGTAGGAGGAAGAGAAAGCCATTGAAAGCCAAGGAAATCTCTGTGGCAAATACAGCGCCTATGCCATTGTGTGGGCACTGAACGTTTGTTGAATGATAA